AATCTCTTGTACTCCCATTATGTTGAAAACGTCAAAAAGATGTCGAAAAGATTAGATCGTGTCATCAATGCAGGTTTCAGACAAAGTGCTTCGCTACATGTTTATTTAGGGTTGTTTTTATAACTTTTCAAATAACTTCTATTTAATGCAATTTTATGTTATGCACAGTTGCTTTTTTCCGTTAGTATGTTTAGAGATAAACTGAAATGTATACTGTCGGAAACAAGTAACTGTGCACAACATAAAATTGCTTAAGTATTCTCCGTGTGTAGAAACTACTTCAGACTACTTTCCAGTAACGTTTTCTACATTTTCCTTTTCGAATAGGTTTACATTATTTAACCAGCAACTATAAATCGTTCACACTTCAACGAACCCAAGTGACGTTGAGTTTATACCAGGACAAAAGGACTCACTGGTTTTATCTCGGGATATCCGTGAAACAAGTTAAACCTGTATGTTAAACATGTAACACGATCTACACGTAACAGTATATTGGGAGACAACCATTGATGCATATACATGTGTTATATGGCTGCACTGTCCCTGAAATAACTATTTCAAATAGCGAAAATATGTTTAAGTTCCTTAGAGCAGCATAAAGTAGCCCGAAAACTGAGCGAGTTAAGTCGAGAACAACAACATGAAAATACATTAACAAGCTCAGGTGGCATTTACAATTACGTTACACATCAGTGGTCTTTCCCTTTACAGCTAATCAGTGTTCAAATAAAGTATAAATAGCTATTTACTGTTTACGTCCCTCAGTACAGGCAGTTGTTGAAACTTTCGGTTTGAGCTGTTGACATTTACCTTATGAAAACAGGGAAACATGATAGCAGATCCAAGAATAACGCCTGGCGAGGGCCGACTGTTATGAAGGCCTGGCTGACATTTGCCCACATTGGAGTTGGTGGTTATCAGGGTGTGAATGACAAATGGGGAATCTCATGATGAGGTCTAGCGAGCGTTGGTGGCTGTCGACATGTCGATGAGAGTTGCACATATGGGAGATTCTCCCTATATCGAGTTTGTCCATTGTTAAAACATATAATATACTATGACGAGAAATTATTGTCGTTTTTAGGAATATGTTTAATTGGATTTCTAGTATAAACAACCGTGACCAGTTATCAAGTGCTTGGTTTCATTCAAGAGAAACAACTCCGTTAATCATTTTCATTAGTTTGCGAAGAGTTATGCCCCTTTGTTTACTTTCTAGCAGACGACATTTTCAGTGATCCTCAGTATGGATGATTTAGAGAAGGGAAGTTGATTTTTAGAGTATTATAACAAGGACATCAGATCAGCTAAAGTGATTTCAAGTAGAACAGGCATCCCTTTGTCCACTGTTTATCGTGTTTTGAAAAATATTGCAAATGGATATGGCATTGAGCACCAGGGAGGCGCAGGTAAGCCCAGAAAATTGACTGTCGGTGACAGGAGGCGGCTTGGTATTCTTGTTTCTAAAAACAAACGAAGGAGTTTAGAAAACTTAAGGCTGGATATGATTGATAGAGGAACTGTGGCTGTCTGTAAGGAAATGATTAGAACTGAGCTGTGAAATGGGTTGGCAGAAAAGTCGAGGAATTCCATCACCGATCATGAAACCTGAACAAAAGGAGCGAAGGTTGAACTGGTGCTTACAGCATAGAAATTTTAACTGGGACAATGTAATTTTCTCAGATGAAAGTTCTGTGTGGCTGTTTCCTAATACACTGAAATTCTGGACCAAACAAACTGAAAAACCTTTGTATCAGCGCCCACAGTACAGTCCGAAAGTTAACGTGTGGGGTGGCATATTTGTGTTAAGGGCAACGCCCCCTCTGTGTATTTGAAGGAATATGAACAGTGAGCGGTCCAGATATTGCTCGTGGGACATTTTATCGTTCAAAGCTCCATCTGACCCAAAATATGACACGTGTTCTAAATGGAAATGTCTTTGAAGGATTTTCCAGCAGGACAACAACCCAACTTCTTTGACATCATTTAAAGCATTCACTGGAGGCCTGGTTCGAAAATAATAAAGACCCAAAATATGACATTATTAGATTGGCCAAGCTATAGCCCTGACCTAAATCCAGTAGAAAATGTTTGGAGTCTTATGAAGGAAAGTGTCAATAAGAAAAATCTGACAAATATTGCTGAAATGAAAGAAGAGGTGGTCCGATATTGGGACGACAAGCGAGTTTCCGCTAGCGTCATAATTTGATCATAATTGTAATAATTAATTGTGGACGAAAGGGAAATCCCCTAAAAATGCTTAGCGAGTGTTGATGAGGTGTTGATGACAGGTGCTCAAATGGACAAACCTTCCCCGTGATGCCGGGCGAGTGTTCATATTTGTTAAATGTCTTGCTTGCGTAGGTTATTTACATTTGACATTAAGGTACTTTGTGTTTGACATAGATTGATAGTATCATCTTAGCTGTGGATTCAATATGACTTGATTAACAACCCTATTCTGTCATCTGGTGATGTGTTTGAGTGTATGGCGCTGAAACGTGTTTTCGATAAGATAAAGAGGATTTTGACTGTTATTAATATGGTGCTTAATGGCATACGGTACAGTACAATTGATTTTGGATATTCATCCCCTCACAACAGCAGAAAACAACACATATCTACATGGATGAAAACGTCCCACAGACATGCACCAAATCTCTGATCATGATTTCGAATTCGTGCCCAGAAGAGACTCCGGAATATCATTGGTCCCAGTCGGCATGTTTGAAGCAGGTTCATGTTTTGGTTAGCCTACTGGCTGATTAAGCCGCCTCGTAATATCAGTATCAATACTAATATCAATATCAGTGGTTTGTGGCCACCTAAAAATTACATCACTTGACGTTGAAGCTCCCATGTTGGGCCCCGTCTGCTGTGACTTACTGTTCAAAGTGCGACTTACCGACATGTCCATGAACCCTGCTATTAGCGATAAGGTTATTATTTTCTGAATGCGAAACCAGTAAACTGTTTTAGAGCACGTGCAAACAAGGAAAATAGTGGCTGATATGAATAGATGAAATGCCAAATTAAAATATGATATTAGCTTTGACATTGGTCACACAACTTCCAGGAAAAACTATTCGCCTGTTTATCTCGGGTGTATTTTCACGCATGAGAGCCATTAAAGTGTGTGTACAATGCATTTGGTTCCACCTACTACACGGGTATACAGAACTGTGATTGGTGTTTTTTCCGCCTGTTTATCTGTCAGGAAGAAGAATGTTGTTAAAGATATTAGCTTTACCTGCAATTGCATTGTGTAGACAGAATCGCGTGAGTGAGTGAGATATACAGCTTTACGTCGATTCTAGCAGTGGGATTACCCATATGGGGAGTAGACCTTCGAACCCGTTTACCACAGGGCTACCCTGCCCATTTTAGTGACATAATACTATATGCATGGGAATCTAATCACTGCCAATCATTCTTGTTGCTTGATACATGTGTTTGCCAATAACAGGTATCGTTGCACATTTAACTCAGTGGAAACCACGTCTGAACGAAATTACAGAGGTACTTGTACACGTTGAGATATGTACGCCATCCCTTGATTGTTACATTGTCCTTTCCTTTTGGTCTTCTAAATACCCATCTCTGTGTGGTAAACGTCGGGATGGAAAACGTTTCAGTATGGCTTGTTTGTATAAATGGCTTGTTGTTAAAGAGTTACTTGTGTACACGACACGAACAAGCGTTAAGTGAGAATCACTTGCCCATGTGTTTAAGCTCGGCAGTCGAGGAATACTGGACGACGTACGAGAACATCGAAATTTATCCAGCATAATCCAGTAATTCCACGGTACTGAGCATCTCGTGCATGCAGTGTTATGTTCATGTCTCTTTAGAATCGATCCATTTAACATGTAGACAAAAAAAAGGAAAAAGCACACACAACTGTGCTGCACTTGTCGACTGAATGCCTTCTGTACAACCTTGAACGTCATGACCATGTATAGGCGGTAACGTGTAAGCTCGGTTTGCCGGTTGAACGCGTAAGCTTTGCGTTATTCTTCAGGTTTCTGTCAAGACACTGTCCCTAGATATCTTGATAATAGTAAACACTCCTACCCGGCAAACTGTATCAAGATGTGTATGATGTGCAGTTATTTTAATACAGTTAATAACCTATCTGATGACCCTTAAGCAGGATGGTTGATCTAATGCAAGTAGTTCTTATAGAAGCCAAAAATACATGCAAACGTTAAGCTTTCGACAAAACATTCCAGGAGATATTTGAAAGCTTCATAACTGTGCGTGTCCCTCCTGTGTGATGTTGTTGCAGGCGTATCAACTGGAATAGGTGTTGTAAGGCTCTATATAAGTTTGGAAATTCCTAAGCTGTTATTAATCACGTGTTGCTGTTGAAAACAGACTGATGTGGAGTACATAACCAGGAATAAGAGTCGACAGTGGATTGTGGACGTGATGATATTGATACGGCAAAGAACATAGTAAACAGATTTACTAACAACAGAATTAAAGCTTTGTGAAGCTAATTTACAGGAAAACGTAGACATAAACAAGTAACAAACAACTATGTATTCCCCAACAGTTATGGCTGTAGACTTTTCAGCGGCTCCACTCATGAGAGTTTGTATATATCGTGAAACACATTCCCTGTAAATGAGAGATGTGGACAGTCCAGTTACTAATTTACAGCTACTCAGGTAGCGCTCATGTCGGGATACAGAAACATACGCTGGTTGTGCACGGATGACACTCTGTTGTCCTAACATATGTGAAGGGTTATATTACATCCCTTCTTTATTATTACGACAATACTCTATCACGCACTATAAATTGTTGAGACGACTTCATCGTTGCACAAAAATACCTCGGTGGAAGAGATCAGCGGGTACTGAAAACAAGCAAGACCGGTATTCAAGTTGAATTTATTAACCTAACTGAGACAAATTGGTTATGTTGACACAACAGCATAAACTTAACTACGACACAGAATTCCGTTGTACACAGATTTTGTCTCTTTCACTCTCAGCTGTGGACTATGTAAGAAACAAATTGTGAGAACACAAGTATACTATAGTGTGAGTTGCTAGCGCCCTTGCGTTTTGTTTCGATACGACGTGGATGCTTGAAGTCTATGACATCACACGCTGTGTAGGAAGACATACACTGGGATGTGTGACTCTGCAATGAAGATCTGGAACTTACTGGTCTGTGTGTGGATAGGCGTTATCCGTGGAGCTCTGCTAGATAATGGTGAGTATGAGTGTATTGTGAAATGTCTACCCCTCAAAGTACATTGGTTTTACCAACCAGAAAACTTACACATACAAATACCTTTTCCGTATTAAATGGAATAATATTAGTTGAATGCTTTATAAGTTCCACAGTCATTTAATGCACTAACTGGCCAAAAATAGTTAGGGGGATATATGTAAATTTTGAAAATTATGAACAATGATCTATTTATTCATTGACACACTGATAAAATATCAATAATAAAAATACCAATATCCCTAACTTATTTTGTCTAGTATATATTTGACACAACATGCTTATCATTCATCACGCTGAATACCCGGGTTTGATTCCCAAACGGACACAAAGAATATACTATGTGAATCCCATTGTTATCCCATGAATACGTAATATGGTATGCGTTGTCGTAATAATAGACACTGATTGGCGATTTTAGTACCCTGTGATTCACTGATTGTGTGTTGGTACGATACCTGAATAATGGGATGTGAAAACTTATTATGATACTTGGCAACGACCTCAGGTCATAGGAGAAACCTCACTCGAAATTTGAATGATGATTGTTTTGTTTCCGTAGTTGAACTTGTACTGACGAGCTCACCACCAACAGCAACAGACGGAGAAAGTTTCACCTTGATTTGTAGCCCCCCGTTTGGTTCTGCAGGAAACGTAGCATGGTTGCAGAACAATGCATCAAAGGTCATTACGCAATTCAGCATGAATTGCTCTAAGCAACCAAACTCTGCGGGGAATAACATCGACCGTTTCAGTGTGAGCTGCAATGACACGATCCACAGTATAGAGTTTAGATTCAACTCCACTACAGACCAGGGAGGATGGCAGTGCGGGAAGCTTGTAAACAAGACCTACATATACCCGAGAAGCAACATTTATAATATAGGTGGGTATGACGTATTCAATGTATTTCATAATACAGTAGTTTGTCAGCAATGTAGTCATCTATAGCCAGAAAGTTGATATAACACGTAAAGCTCATGTCAGTGTCAGACACGTTGCTGGTCCCGTCATGTCAGCTCAGTTTTTACCAACATCGACCCGGTGTATGGAGACTACATCCGAATCCGGCAAAATGGCGTCACAGAAAGGCAGTTCTCATTGAGATGTACATATCACATCTTGACTCCCAAGAAGTATACTCATCATGTACACACAGATGCCCACCATGGACTCAGTGTCTAATCTACTTTCAGTAGTTGCAAGTCTTCACATGTCAACTTTATCAACAACGACCCTGAAGATCGAGACAACATCCGGGACAGTGACAACACAGAAAGGTAGTTCTCTCTGAAATGTACATATCGTACTTAGTTCCTATTCCAGCTCCAGTGGTGAAGTAATTAAAGATTAAAGCGTTTAGAACTTGAAAACATATATATATATAGACATGCCATTCAGGAAGATTGTGTCATTGCGCTCTTTATTAGCCATTAAGGAACAGCTTAAGTCTCTGCCGAGTATGCTATCATAGGTGCATGGTGTTTCCAACTGTGAATCCTCGACATTTACTAAAGCTAAGTGTACAAACGCAAAGGATGGGCGTTGCATACCAAATGAAACGTGAATTAATTTCCGTTCCATGCCGTAATTGCGCATGACGAAATATGAGCTATCAAGTTTGTATGTATTGAAATTTTAGCAATGACAACTTCATTCTATTAAGTAATGTGACACCAAAATATCGTCATCATTGGAATTTCGCTGCACGTCATAAACATTATGACATACGTTATTTTCATTATTAAAGACACTATGTCACACCACACATCTCTAAAAATATATATTAAATTTCTCGTAACAATGATTTCAGCCCTCGGGGAAACTACCACATAATTAATCCAAAGACGTCAAGTACGGAGTACCACATGTCCGCCTCGAAGTTTCAATTTTCGATTTCAAGTCGTAAGGGATAATAAGAATTTGATTGCATCAATAGGAAGCTAAAGTGAGTGCATATGCCCCAATATATATAATATAGGCCAAAATATTGTCGAAAATGTTTGACATTGTGGCTTTAACTATTTGCTAAAAGCAATTACACTACCGGATAGAAATCCTTTGTGTTTAGTAACCGTTTTGTCTATTTGTAGCTAAAAGGTTTTAGAAACGCAAATGCCATTAAATACTCTTTTATGTAAAGGTGGCATTCGTAATAAAACGTTGGTTTTGTTGCGCGGCATGTATCAATTGTGCCATGCGAAGGACCTCCTTTTTCATATTTCTGTCCTTAAGTTATATAAATGTACCTGTCTTAAATGATGCTTAATGCTCTGAATACAGACGTACAGGCAGACATGACAACCGTCTCTAATATGAGAACGAGAATCAGTTAGTGAGTTAATATTTATAGTCACATCGGCAATATTTCAGCCATATCGTGACTAAAACAAGTGATACACTAATAAATCATTTCAAACTAACACCTATCAACCAATGACAGTAAAATAACCAGATTATCACAGATATAGGTCTAAAAATAGTATGCAAGTATTAACATGTGACTGTTCCTAACAATACATCCTAAAACTGGATACAACATCACCAAGTTAGGCTACCATACTAGGGTCGAGAACGAGAATGATTGAGTGAGTGAATGAGTTAAAATGTAACGTCACCTCGGTAATATTTCAGCCACACAGTGACGGGAAAGGTAGAACGAGAATGGTTGCAGAGCATATGTTGTTAGAAGTGATCAACACCAGTCTGTGTTTGTAGTGTAGCCTCAGTCAGTAATATTCCTGCTCCAGTATGACGTTGTCGATGTTTTCAGAAATGACACCGACCCTAATCACTCGATCCATGTGGTCGCTTCTCACAGCCAACAGCAGTTGACAGGGATCTGTTACAAACCAGAATCACCATGAGGCATTTTACAGCAGCACCTGGCTTCCGAATTTACCCGAATTTAGTTGGTAAGGGATATTTATTCCCTGTGAAGTGTTACATGTCAAGACATTGCTGTCTATGTTCTTGGTTTGAAGCACGCATCAGCGATAGGTCCACATCCTGCCATAATCCATTAAAATCAACGTACTGTAGCACATGTAGTATTTCAGTCTTGACATTACACGCTACGTCTGAATATACCCTGAACCAGCCACGACACTGTCTTTCAGCCTCCACAGATAGCGGTGATACAGACACCATCTACATCGTGGTTGGTGCTGTAGGTGGAGCTGTTCTGGTTGCCGTCGTTGTCGTGGGCATCGTGTGTATCCGACGGAGAAGACAATCAGCACGTGTGTATTTGTGTTGAGATTTAACATAAGATTTGTTGACATCTAACATGGGTAAATGCCTTAAACAATCGTGTCTTATCGTATAGGCCGTCCAAATACTGGCAATAATATCTTCAGCGTTTACAAGCAGGTATTTCTAACCATTGTCAGAATTAATTCTTGTGTGTTAGTGCAACCTAACAAAATGTCTCTTTTCAGATCAGAGGGAAGATGTGAAAGGGGAGAGAAACATAGAAGCGTGAGTTGAGTACATTACAATCACGTACACAAACTCCCCCATTTACGAGTGAGTGAGTTAAAGTTTAACGTCACATCGGCAATATTTCAGCCATATCGTGACGACAAAAAGTTATATAGTAAGAATAAATACATTTATATATTTTTAAAAACCTGTCAGCAAAGGACAGTATAAAGGCTAGATTATCACAAATTAATTAAAACTAGTTTGAGTTCATGGTAAAATGCTAAATCATGTCAAAACAACACAATATAAAATCGGGCTAGATATCGCCAGCAACTGAAGGGAGATCACCATGCTAGGAGCCATGGGGACTTAGTTACTTTTGCTACCTGCATGGACCTTAGCTGGATTTACATAATCCCTTCAGCTGTTGGTGAACGCAAAACAATAAAGCTTACACAATACAAGTGCATACATAAACACATATGAACACACACATGGGCAGCCACTGATCCTCCCTACTGATCCTTCCACACGCCCCCTCCTCTCCCCCACTCCCCGCCCCTCCAATGCAAAGACATGGGTACAACATTAAACGTTTAAAGGCTGTTTGTTGAAGATGATTTGCATTGCTGGTCACCTATATAAGTTATTTCAGCTTTTCTTCCAGCACTCCAACTTGCCAAGACAGTACAAGCTGCCACACAGGTAGGTCTATCGTATTGCCATTTGTATAACGCTGTGACAAACTAACTTAATTTGGAATCTTACTGCGGGTGGCATCAAGTGCAGGACCGCATTCCCATACATGGTTCCTATGATAATGTTGTATTTGTATCCTAATTAGAGGATTGGTTTTCAGTAACCCATGCTTGTCGTAAGAGGCGACTAACGGGATCGGGTGGTCAGGCTCGCCGACTTGGTTGACACATGTCATCATGTCCCAATTGTGTAGAACGATGCTCATGATGTTGATCACTGGATTGCCTGGTCCAGACGCGATTATTTACAGACCGCCGTCATATAGCTGGAATATTGCTGAGTGCGGCGTTAAACAACAAACAAAACAAAACGAATCTAATCTACAGCGGATACCTATCTGTATGAGAGATCTTTTTCTGTTATAAGTTGTTTTATATGTTTCAGTCGAAAATAAGTTGTATGAACGTTCACGTGGTATCACCCCAATCACCGAAGCGGAAGATCAGACGGATGACTTCTTTTTCTCAGGTGACACTATGTTATTACATATCTCCAAATGTTACAATGAAGATTTGAAAGGTCGGTCTGACCCCATTCTAAAATATTAGCTTAACTATATTTGCTTAACAGTTACGAGAACAAAAGTGGATATGTTTTCTTGAATAATGGTATGGCTGTTTATTCATTTTAAAATCATAATCTTTCCTTAGATGTACACATTTTGGATATGCCAGCTACGAGCACGTGCACACCACGTGAGCAGTATGCGTCATGTGACGTCGACGAAGACAACCTGCATGCTAAACCTGAGAAAACCAAGTCTTCAAATGTTCAACATGGTGAGGCTGATCTATTGTTTAGTGTCAAAGTCTGATTCATGTTTTATCCATGAAACGAGTTTTTCTGTGATGCAGCCAGAAATAAAGGTAAATGCGTGATACGATCGCTAACCTATGTTTGTTGTTAGAGACGACTAACGGGATTGGTTCATCAGACCGCTGACGTGGTTGATCCCACTACTGGTCCAGACACGATTATGTACATACCACCGTATAACATGTAGCTGAAACGTTGCTGAGTGTGGGTGGACAGTGAGTGAGTGAGTGGGTTTAGTTTTACGCCGCTTTTAGCAATATTCCAGTAATATAATGGCGGGGAAAGTGGGTTAAACAACCAACAAACCAGCATCTGTAAAGTACATTAAACACTCATTGTGTGAACATCAGTTTCAGATAAAAACGCTGTAGTAAAGAAACCGAAGAAGAAGCGACAGGATGATCCTAATTAAGGCGTCTGAAGATGTCAACACTGGGGACGTGTATGCAAAGCCCAACAAGGGTTGAAAGGCATATATATACTCTCTTCAAGAAAGAAACTATACATTGGAAACTTTTTGAATTTTAGGAAAATATTTGGCAAAAACCAGTCAATGCTGAATCCCTACATGTGACGGAATGGGTGCCGGCGACTAAACGTTTCAAAAAGAAACGTTTAACAAAAATGTAACGTTACACTAACGTCTGTAGTGAATCGCTAAAACGCACCTTACGTGAAATGCACGTACATCATGGAATTGTGTATCACCCTGAGCTGAAGCCTATGTCTGGCTAGGCACTTCAGCGTGTCCACACAGACCATCTCAAACCTATGGACCCGATACTACAATACTGTAAGCGTTAGTGACAGACCCAGGTCAGGTCGACCTGGAGCTACCACAGGATCGCTACATCCGGTTGAGATATCTTCGTTCAAACACCACGGCCGCATCATCCATAACAATCTAAATCCCTGGACTTCGCCGAATCTCCGACCAGACAGTATGCAGTTGGCTATGGGAAGCCAGACTTTTTGCCAGAAGACCAGTTCAACGTCACGTCGTTCCCTTCATGAACGTCAACGGTTAATCTTTGGAGCATGACAATGCTCGGCCTCACGTAGCACGTGTTTGACAGGACTTCTTCCAACAAAACAATGTTCAGGTGTTACCTTGGCCTTCTTGATCATCCGATGTGTCCCCAAATGAACATCTATGGGATACTCTTGGTCGACGCTTGCGCCGGCGTAATCCGCCACCTCAGACACTACGAAAACTGCACACAGCACTACAGTAAGAGTATCAAAACATTCCTCAAGGCAGCATTCGGCATCTCCTTTC